TTCCTTCCAGCTTTAATTTCATTTCTTAATTTATTTTGTATTCCGTGTTCATTATAAAATATTAATTGTTTGATATTCCCTCGGGTTTGGGCGTGGGCCTGATCAACCCGTGTCTCGGATCCGAGGGGTATCACACTACTCCTATGGTATTCTTTTCCTTACCATAAGATGATCACTTGACCATTGGATGCATGGATAATCTATGCTTTTTTGGTGCAACCAGAGTTGGACAATTGCTTACCTCCTCACCTTCCTCACAGAGTTGGAAGCTCTGAGGTCCTCTCCCATGGCAGAAACAATCCAATTAATATTTCTTCCTCCCCTCCACCTTAGATCATGGGCTGATGTTGCTAGAGATACCTCTGGTACCAAAATGATTCTTGAGCATTTTACTCCAAACCTTACAAATGTTGGGAGTGATCTCATTCTTGAGCCTCCAGAGGACATAGTTGAAGAAGGAATCTCTTACTGGAAGGAGTACCTAGTTGGTCATTTCCCAAACAAAAGAATGCCATATGGTGTTGCCTCTGCTGTAGCTATGAAGCTTTGGAGGAAGGCTGGACTTTCTGAGGTCCTTATGGATGGGGAAGGAGTTTTCTACCTCAAATTTGATGTTTGGGCCTCTGCTGAAGTTGTTCTTGCCTCTGGACCTTGGACACTTGCAGGTAAACCTTTTGTTTTGCAGAAATGGCTTCCTGATCCTACTACTTAGAAGGAGGAATCACCTCTTGTCCCTATTTGGGTCAGGTTCTACAATGTTCCAGTTAAGTACTGGACTGCCAAAGGGCTGAGCCTCATTACAAGCTCTATTGGACACCCACTTCATGCTGATCACTTCACTTAAACCAGGAAAAAGCTTAAATTTGCAAAAATTTGTGTTGAATTTGATGCTAGGAATTCTCCTATTGATATTATTAAGATGAAAACGGGCCCTCATACCACTGTTGATATCAGAGTGGAGTACTAATGGATACCCCTTTACTGTACCAGCTGTTGCATCACTGGACATGCCTTATCTTCATGCCCCTCTAAAGCTACGGGTCCTAATACCACTAAGGTCAGCCCAGTTGTTCCAGTTATGGATTTGCCTGAGGATGAAGACTATTTTAATGGATAGACAACAGTTAGGAACAGGAAACAAAAACAGGTTTTGTCTATGAACCACACCCCTTTACCTTACCATGGCTACTCTACATCCCACAGCAAGGACTTTATCATATTCTCACCACCCACAGATGATCCACCACAACCTCAACCCTTACCTGTATCACCTGTTGTGCTACCCTTACCTGTTGCACCAGCTGAGCAACCCTCCTCTACTACACCAACCCCTAGCTCTGATCCCATCGACATTACACCTATACCAAAGTTCCTTGTTATTCCCCTGAGATTGCAACCAAAAAGATCAGCCAAATCGAAAAAACCATCCGCTCACCCTGGTACTAGTTCAAAGATAATTGGCACACCAAACAAACCAAAACAAGGCTCATCAGCCCCACCAACCTCCATACTGATGGAAAAGCAAAAACCACAGCAGTTACCACAACAGTCAACCCCTCTACACCAAACTCCTCCTAACCAATTGTCCAAACACCAATCATCACCATCACCTGAAAGACATAATTTCAACTGTTCCTCTAATGATTCCTCTTAACCCCCAGCAGTTAGGACATCCTCATTCAAGAACTTTAGCAACCTCGAGGATGGATATTGTAAACTTATTGTTGACCTCTCACAACACTTGGATGTTGCTCCACTGATGTTAATGCCACCTACTGATGATATTGCTGCTACTCCCATCCAGTTTACATCAACTAATGATTGCATCAATACTGATGACACACATGTCTCTGAGTCTAATGACGAGTCTGTAACCATGTCTGGTTCTTGGAACCCATGCTCAAGTGGCAGGCACAGGAAGAAGAAGTTTTTTCCACCTAAAAATAAGACAAAGAAGAGTCTTAAGGCTAACTCATTCCCATTTAAGGGACTGAGGTTGGGGGGAAGGAGCAGGACTTCTTCCAAATGACCTGCATTGCTGCTTGGAACATGAGAGGCTTCAATAGCCTCTCTAAGTAACTAGAAGTCAAGGCTCTTCTAGCTGAGCATAGAATTTCAGTTGTTGCCTTACGTGAAACTAGGGTTAGTTCTATTAATGTTGATTCAATTCACAGGTTTGTTGCTCTTCACTGGAGCTTGATTCATAATTACAACCATTCACCCTTGGGTAAAATTTGGCTTCTTTGGGACCCCACAGTTATTCAGTTATCACTTATCTCTGATTCAAGACAAGCCATTCATTGCTTTATTAATATGGTGGCTAACAACAAGTCCTTCAATGCTTCTTTCATCTATGGTGCAAATGATGATCTGGATAGAAGAATGCTTTGGGAAGATATCACTACTCTCTCTGATACATTTTCCTCATCACCATGGATCCTACTTGGTGACTTTAATGCTACTTGCAGCCTTAGTGAGAGGTATGGTGGCTCCTTGAGATGGAATCCTGCTACAGCTAATTTCAGAGAATGCATTTATGAGGCTGGTCTTGAGGACCTTAAATTCAATGGCATCATGTTTACTTGGAACAACAAAAGTGAAGGGGTTGCCAACATTGCTAGGAAGCTTGACAGAGCCCTTATTAATGTCAATTGGAACATCCTTTTTCCTAGATCAGAATGTCTTTTCCTTCCACAGGGCTTATCTGATCACAACCCTATTTTGGTTAAGCTTGGGGACATCCAACAAAGGAAACAAATTCCATTTAGGTTTTTTAACTCATGGGCTGCAAATGATTAGTTTATCTCAATAGTTGCTTCTACTTGGAGCTCCTTCATCAGGGGTACAACCATGTTCCAAGTCACCCAAAAATTAAAAGCTCTTAAGCAGCCACTAAAGAACCTCTCCAAATCAGATCCAGCAAATTCTTCACAATTGATCTCTGACCTTAAGTCTCAGCTCAACTCATGTTAAGTTGCACTTGACCACAGTCTTATGGATCCCATATTGAGAATGAAGGAAGCTGACCTTATCCAACATTATTCCAGCCTCAGCTTATCTGTTGAGCAAGATTTGAGGCAAAAGTCAAGGATTAGATGGCTCCAACTGGGTGACAGTAACTCATCTTTTTTTTTCAAATCCATTACAGCCAGAAACAACAGAAAGAAGATTATATCTCTAGACAATCTAGCTGGTGGACTTATTGAAGGTGATCTCCATGTGAAGGAGGCCATTCTCAACCATTTCAAAGCTTTGCTAGGTACAGATACTTATCCTTATCCTGGTAGAACTTGTTTAGTTCCATTCATCACTAAATCTGTGCCAGAACACCTCACTGAGCATTTGATTATTTTGCCCACTTTTGCTGAAATCCAACACTGTTTTCTATCTCTTAATAAAGAGAAAACTCCAGGCCCAGATGGTTATAATGCATTCTTCTTTCACAAAGCTTGGTCTATTATTAGCAATGATGTTATTAAGGCAGTTAGTGAGTTCTTCACCAGTGGCAAGTTACTCTAAGAACTTAATTGTTCTTATATTTCCCTTGTTCCAAAGACCCCAAGCCCATCTTCACTTCATGAGTATAGACCAATTTCATGTTGTAACACTATCTATAAATGTATTTCCAGGCTCCTTGTGCTCAAAGTTAAGCCAGTATTGCCTCTCATTATTGATCCTAGCCAATCAGCTTATATCAAAGGGAGAGCCATTAGTGATAATGTTCTTCTTGCCCAAGAGTTAATGCATGGTTATCACTTGACATCATCCACTTCATCACCAAGATGTGCAATCAAAATTGATCTTCAGAAGGCATTTGATTATGTCAATTGGGAGATTCTCATTGACTCACTCATCCTCTTCAACTTTCCACCACCACAGTTGGTTCATTGGATCAAGGCTTGTATCACCTCACCCTCTTACACAATCTCTGTTAATGGTGAATTTAGTAGGTTTTTTAAGGGTGCAAGGGGGCTGAGACAAGGGGATCCACTATCCCCCTTCTTGTTTACAATTGTCATGGAGGTCCTATCCCTAATTATCTCCTCAGTTACATCACAATCTTCATCATTCAGGTTCCATTGGAGATGTAAGAAAAAGTCCATTACTCACCTTATTTTTGCTGATGACCTGTTACTTTTCTCTCATGGAAGTCTTCAGTCAGTTAGTATCCTACACAATGCTATCAATATCTTCTCTACTATCTCTGGTCTTAACTTCAACAAGTCTAAGAGCTCTATATTCTTCTGTGGTATGGATCAAGTTACCCAAAATTCCATCTCAAGTCTATTGGGGATTGGAATTGGTTCTCTTCCAATCAGGTACCTTGGTGTGCTTCTAATTACAACAAGACTAAGGGCTCATGACTGCAAGGCATTAGTTGATAAGATATCCAGTAGAATCAATCACTGGACAAGCAAAGCAATTTCTTATACAGGAAGAATTAAGCTAATCCAATCTATCATAATTAGTGGGCTAGTATGTTTATCTTGCCCAAAGCTATCATCAATGATATCAACAGGTTATGTAAGAACTACCTCTGGTCTGGAAATTGTCTCAACAACAAAAAAACAAAGATTGCTTGGCTTCATGTGTGTAGGCCTAAAGGTCTAGGTGGGCTTGGAATTCCTAATGTGGAACTTATTAATAGGGCTTCTATGATGAGGCATTTGTGGAAGGTTGTTACTGATTGCAAGGATAACTCTTGGGCTCAATGGATTATTGACCATCATTTGAAGAACAAATGCTTCCAGGAACTAAATATACCACACAACTGCTCCTATAATTGGAGATCTTTACTGCATCTTAGGCCATCTTTTAAGAGAATGATCAAAGCTAATATTGGGAATGGAGAGAGTATTACCTTCTGGCATCACAATTGGTTAGAGGATAGCCCTCTCTGCAGTAGCTTCTCTCATGCCTAAATCGATGCTTCTGGAATTCCTCTTAATGCTAGTTTGAATAGTTGCTTTTTTGGAAACTCTTGGATCTTTCCCATAGACATGACCTTGTTGCTGCCAAGCTTAAACCATCTTCCCCCTCCTGGTTCAGGTATTGATTCATTCACTTGTAGGCCATCACTAAATGGCAAATATTCTCTTAAGCATACAATTGAAGCTTTAGCCAGTCCCACACCTCCAGCCCCATGGTACCAACTTGTTTGGAATTCTTTATCAATCCCTCGACATTGGGTCATCCTTTGGTTGGCAGTTCTCAACAAGCTACCCACACTTGACAGTAACTCCATGGCCTACAAGCACATCCCAAATCACTGCACACTGTGCCTTTCCTCTGGAGAATCACTGAATCACATTTTTTTCTCCTGCTCATTTACTGCTCCAATTTGGTCCTATTTGCAAAATGCATGCAGCTTCTACACAAGATCACAGTGGATTGACTTCATTTTTTGGGCTTCACGTCACTGGTCATCCAAAAGCATTGCAAATGCCATAAACAAATTGGCACTTTCAACATCCATTTATCACATCTGGGCAGAAAGGAACTCAAGGATTTTCAAGGATATTTCAAGTTCTCAGAACTCTATCTTGTTCAAAATTACTACCTCCATCAGAGAACGGCTCCTGCCTCTGTCATTCAAGGATGGTGTGGCTGCTCAGCGTGTCCGTCATGTTTAGGTTCTTCCTTCTTCCTTCATCCGTCCTCCCCCTCGTCCTCCAGATGGGTCTTCTCTACAGCTCTGAAAGCTGTGGAAGTTTGTTGCTGCTTGTTGTCTGCTTTGGCTTACTTCACTGGATTGATCAACAGCTTACGGTTGTTTGTTTCAAGCTATTGCTTTAGGCCAAATAGGGGCTGTTTGTTGGTTTTTTTGGGCCTGCTTATAGGGGCTGTCTATTGGGCCTCCTTTGGGGTCTTTTCTTTTTTGTTTTTGGTTTTGTTTTCTTTGCCTGTACATTCTTCACATCTATAAAATTGCTTGACTTTTCGAAAAAAAAAAAAAAAAAAATATAGTACTGTTTCTTTATAATTTTATGCAAACTGGTGTGCCATAGTTCTTGTCACTTAATACTTAAAAGACCATTAATATTTAACTCATTTTCAAACGATAGAAGGTGCTAAGGGGCAAGACGGTGCAGTTGGTGAAAGTTCTTTGGCGACACCACGGAGTCGAGGAGGCTACTTGGGAGCTTGAACAGCAGGTTCGCTCCAGGTACCCAGAGTTATTTTCTTCCCCAGGTATGGCTTGATTTTGGGGATGAAATCCTTTTAAGTTGGGAAGATTGTAACGTTTCTGATTTTTAGCATTTTTTTTTTCAATTTCCTGAAAATGTGTTGACGCAAGGGCATTTTCGTCATTTCACGTGTGCGTGCGGGATTTTAGTTGAGTCCATTTGCATTTTGTGCATTTTAATTTATGTGGATTAAGTGGTAGTTGTTTATGGTGCATTTATTTGTGTGTGGTGTAGAAAATGGAGTAAAAGAAAAGGGAAAAGAAATTCAAAGTGTTAGGACCCACCACTCATATTTTAGTGGTCTAGAGACCACACTTGGCCCTTATTTTTCTCTCTCCCCGTTGATTCTTCCTCTCCCTCAATTTCTCTTCATTTTTCTTTTCTTTTGAGAAGCAAAATTTGACCCAAGATTCCATCTTCATTACTTACCGGATTAAGGTGCCGTTTGAGGCAAAACGAAGAGTACGACGAGCTCTACGCACTAGTACCAGAAATTCCAACTTTGGTACCCACCTTGGATTTCGAATTCAAGACCCATTTCAAGGGTTTTGTGCAAATTTGAGGTAGGGGCCCTTAATCCATGAGTTCTTGTGCTTTTGTGAGTTGATCTCTCTTAAATGTTTGTTTAGCATGCTCAATTTGTATGGTATTTAACTAAATGATTCGAGTTGTGTATATTTGTCAATTTTATGTGATTATGTATGTTAAATGGATTATGTGAAGAGCATGTTCACATGTTGATTCTCTATATGTTCATCATGCTAGATTCTTGCCGTAATTAAGCGTGTTGTAACTTTCTTGTTATTCTTGTGAATTGTACTATGTTGCTTAAATTGGACGATTGTGGAAGGATGAACATGTGTATGTCATTGAGGCATTCATGCATTAACATTGGGCATAAAAAGGCAAAGAATTGACTTTGAAATGTAAAAGGGAGAATTTTGGGAAAGTGATTTAATGAAATGTTTTTCTTAAACTCGGTCGCCACGGGGTTACCAAAGGGCCAGTAGGTTAATGTAACCTAGAGGGAACTAGGGAGTCGCCCTAGCGTGGTTGAGCTATCTGGGCCCTCAATGACGCTGCGGGGTTACCAACGGTCTAGGGACAGCAGCCAATCCTTCTCTCGACGCTGAGGGGTTACCAAAGGGGGTTACATTAACAGTTTAAAAGTGACGGTTTCGAAATGAAAATGGGGAGCGACATTAGCATTACATCGCATCCCATTGCATTACATTTTTGTGCTTGAGATTGAATTGTTATACAAGACCATTCCTTCATTATATGATCCCCATTCCCCTTGACCTATTCTATGTTTGGATTCACGGGGACACAAGAAACGTGTCTTGAGTGTCACCTACTGAGCGTATAGCTCACCCCATCATATTCTAACATTTTTTAGGTCATGGTAAAGAATTGGCGGATGATAATCCACCCCAGATTTAAATGGCTCTTGAAGAATCTTTTGGGATATATTTTGTAGAACTTGAACTCATTTTTGTATAGCTCATGATCTGAAATGTATTAAGCCCATCTGGTTTTGTATATGATAATGTCACTCTCTATTTGAATCCATTTTGATGTAAAATGTCTACGATGTAAAGTTAAGTTAAAACTCTTGTAATTGGCCCCAATGATGTCTTATATGATTACAAGTGGTTGTCTTAGTCCCTGGTACAGGATGTCATATGTTTGATTGTATAAAATGAGTTCGGATCAATTCCAAGCTTCCATTTCAGTTTCTCCTTCCATTCTCATAGCATAACAGGTTGGCTTTAGGATCCAGGCTCGGGATCTCCATTTCGGTGGACCGAAATGGTGCATCGGTCGACCGAAACAGAAGTGTTGGCTCTCGGGATCTTCATTTCGGTCAATCGAAATAGAGGTTCGGACGACCGAAGTGAAGGAGCTCATTTCGTATGACTGAAGCTCCACTTCGGTTGACCGAAATGAAGCCTTGTGATCAAGCTTCCTTTTTCTCTTTGTTTGCTCTCGAGATCTCCATTTCGGACGACCGAAACTCCCCTTCGGTCGACCGAAATGAAGCTGTGTTGGCCACTTTGCATCTTTTCCTCCGGTCATCATGTTGTTCAACGATGGAACGGGTTTGAGAAGTTCTAAGGATGTAATTCAAGGTTAATGACGGTATTTTGACTTTAGAATGATCGAGTTTGGCATAGATGATCTCGGGTTCGAGCAAGGACCCGGCTAACGGTTCGGGCCTCCGGGTCCGGGTTATTACATTGCTCTCCAAAGAGCATATCAATGCATCATTTGATTTTTCTGAGACAACGTTTGCTTCAGTTTTCTTTTCGGTTCCCTTCTTTAGAAGTCTGCAATCAACACAGTAATGTCCCTTCTTTCCATAATTCCAACATTCAACATGACTAAGATCTGTGGAATTCCTAAAATTTTGAGACTGAGTCCTTCCATTCCTTGACTTGGATCTACCTCTGTTTCTATTACCGTTGCCTTTCTTCTTGTTTGAACTCTTGCCTCTGCTTTCAGCATTCAATGCCAAACCACTGGTGGAACTGCTATTTGCCTTATGATTTCTTTAGTCAAAATCATGCTCACAACTTCATCAAACTTCAACTAGGTCTTCCCTGCAGAGCTACTGATCGCTGTAACTGTGCCACTCCAACTCTCGGGTAAGTGCCTTAGAATTAGCAGTGCTCGGACCTTGTCTTTGAAGTCGATATCAACAGACTTTAATTGCTCAAATATCTCATTGAATGCATTTAGATGTTCGTTGAACTTACCACATTCGATCATCTTCATGTTGAACAATTTCTTGATCAAGTGCACCTTGTTTGCTGCAGAAGGTTGTTCATACTTACTAGAAATGGCTGTCATGAGAGACTTCGTCGTCTTCTCAATCTTGATATTAAAGGCCACTGATTTTGACAATGTCAATCTGACGGTGCCAAGAGCCTTCCTATCAAGTAATTCCCATTCTGCATTCTTTGTTTCCTCTATCTTCTCTCCCAAATGTTGATACAGATTTTTCTGAAACAAGAGTTCTTCAATTTGCATCTTCCAAAAACTGAAGTTTGTGTCATCAAACTTCTCAATCATGGATGTGGATGTCTTATCTTCTGATGCCATTACTCCCACTCGAACGGACAGATCTGATCAAAAGACTCTCAGAATTTCGTCAGACACCTTTTGTGCCCAAGGTTCTCAACCAAAGGATCTGATACCAGTTGTTGGAGTTGTTTTGCACAATCAACTGGATTTAATACCAGTTGTTATGGCGGAAACACAAAATAAACAACGTTGTTCAAGGAATAAATAAGCAATCACGAAGAATAGAGAAAATTACACACAAGAACACAAGATATACATGGTTCACCCAAATCTTAGGGCTACGTCCATGGAGCACACCGAACAAATTCACTATAAAGAAGATGAAGAATTACAGAATTTTCTCTCAATCTTTCTCAATTGCTCTCTCTTGTATTGTTACAAATTAATCAATCACACAACACGTATGATGATCTTTTTCTTTTTTCTTCTCTATATTTTTACCTTACCTTAAGATCTAATTAGAGTTGATATATATAGCCCCTAATAATTTGTCCTACAAGAAATTGTCTTTTGTAGAATCCAAAACCAATAAGGAAGTAAAAACAGATTAGGAAACTGAATTTTTCCTAAAATTCAGCCATCTTGAAGTTTCTATATAATTAAATCTTCCTAAAAATATTTCACCTAATCAGACTCCACAAAACCACAACAGTGGAAGATTCTGATTTGCTGAAGGTACATTGACACTCTCTGCTCTCTATCTCTCTCCTCTCTACTTCCACACTATTGTAGCGGTATTTTTTATTTTATTTTATTTTATTAGGGTTGAGTGTAGTGTTGGTTTTCTAGGTCAAGTCTGAACTCTAGTCCTGCAGTATTCTTTTCCTTACCATAAGATGATCATTTGACCATTGGATGCATGGATAATCTATGCTTTTTTGGTGCAACCAGTGAAGAAAAATAATATTGTTTCTTTAGTACCCAATTTTCATTTTAAGTTATATAATATGTAAACAAAAGAATCTAAAGTTAGATTTTTATGCATACTGGTGTGACCTAGTTCTTGTCACTTAAGAGTTAAAAAACCATTAATATTTAACTCATTTTTAAAAGAACACTGTCACTTGCAAATTTAGTTTCAATTTGATCTTTTTCCACATAAACATATCTTGATTTTCTTTCTTAATCTTAAAGTTCGTGCAAAATTTCTCTCTCGTTTTTTATGCAGGTACAATCCGTCATTATTGCTGATGTTCTGTGAATTTATCTCCGATGTAGTCAGCCATTAGGTATGTGGTTAATTGTTTGTGAATTTCAATTTCTCTTTTATCAATTTGAGTAGTCAGATGTAAAGCCGGGGGTTTTATGATTCAAACAATTTGCTGGCCATTTTGTGAAATTTTTTCCTTTCGATCTAG